ACAGTCCAATGATCATTTTACTGATATGTATAAAGACTGCAAAGGCTGAAAAATCTTCAAGTCTGTATGAAATTGGAGGTAGTTTGAGGATTAAATTTTTTATGCTTTTTAAGCTAAAAAAAGGGGGGGGGTCGAATTATACATGAGATCATATTATACATGAATAAATACGGTAAATATTTTGGTGCTTTTTTCATTTGCTTCAGCCTTTATCACTACTTTTTAGTTATTTTCAGCTAATTTTAGCTTTATTTATGCAAAACTCATCTTTTTGTGATCATTTCAACTTCTTACAGCTTAATTTAGCAAACTGTTTCTTTCTGCTAATTTCAGATTTTTCAGCTTGTTAAATTTTTCAGTTAATTTGATCTGTTTGTTATTTTACAACATTTTGCAACTTTTTGTACTTTCGTTTTTCTGCTAATTATTATTTTTTCTCTTTCACTGCCAATTTGAACTTGTTTCTGCTACATTTAGCTTCTCATTGCTACATTTAACTGCTTTTACTTATTTGACTAACAACTTTTAGCAAAAATCTTTCATCAATAAGCATTCACACTCCTTTTTTCAGGAAAATGCAAATAGTTTGAGAGTTGATTGTGACTTAAATTAACACTTTATTGGGTTTTTGAGTGTGTTTTCAGTCATTTTAAGTCAATGTAACGTCTCTAAAATTTGTTTCCGAGGAGTCCAACTTCTTTGTAACCTTTGAAGGTAATCCTAACAAAACAAAATCAGTTTTTTAGATTTTTCAAAGTTTCTTTCTCAGTCATTTTTTATTCTAATTCTTCTTTCTGATCATTTAAACATCTCAGCTGCAGTGTGTCCTTTAAAAGTCTGATTAAACTGGACAATCAGAGGACTGAAAAAAGAAGTGTTTAAACTGTTTAAAGCTGATGAACGGTATTTGAAACTCATAGAAAATGAAGACCTGAAACAGGAAGTGAGAGATGCAGCTTCCAGCTAACATTATTTAGTGAATCCTCGTGGTAAAGCACTACTTTGTGTCTCAAACTGTTACCTTCTAGTGTTTGTCGTCATTTGCTGACAAGACTGTGGAGAGGAGCATAACCAAAACTCGTTTTTTATACGGTTCCCTCTTCTCAGAAGCCCAAGAGGGAAAGTCGACCAGTCCGTCCATTAGCCGCCATGCTAGTTTTGACACGGACCAAGTGTCTAAAGACTTTGTGGAATTCCTGAAGAACCTCCACAAGCCCGGCCGTGAGATCCACAAGCAGTGCAGAGCCTTCCTTATGAACATGTCGAGTAAGAAGGTACGTGGTAGTGGAGAGGTTTTTGTTTACACTTTGCCTCTTTAATGATCAAAAACATGTTTTTATTAATCAGGACCTGGGTGCCGATGAGCTGTCCGAGTGTGTTCAGGATTTCTACCAGAACCTGGCCGACCGCCTGATGAGTCACTTTAAAGGTTAGCTGTGAAACCTTTCAGCAAGAATTAAACCATTTTGTTACAATAATTGACCCTTTGCACGTGACGTCACGCGCCTCAGAAGACCGCCCCTTTTCTCCATGTTGGAYRGCAGAAACAGACATGCATCCATGAGCTACTATTGAGCTAGAGGAGAATCAGGCAGTAGGTAGCCTAATAACGTTCTGTTGATTTAGCTGTAAAAATGGTCTTCAGCTGCTGCGCAGTCGGCTGRATCTGGAGACTCTTTATGCTCCTCAC